CGTCAAATAAAGCAAAGTAAGTTGCATAAATAATTGAAACACTAGATTTGAAAATAAGTGGACGCTTTCGTTGATTACTAGATTGCTGAACTTGGGTTGAAGGGCATGAAATGTGTTTGGCTATTTACACTTCATTATCATATTTTCCTAGTAAGATTTTTCAAACTTAACAATAAACTATCATCTAGAAATTGATTTTATCTCAATTTCTAATTAATTTTTTGTTTCTAAAGATTGATAAAAATGTTTTTCGAGTAATAATAGATTTGGCTTTGACAGGTGCCGAACCTGTACAATAATAATAATAAAAACCTATATACCACCAAAAGCAGTCAAAAATTAATCCTAGGTACTGGAGCAGGGATTCTAGGTGTGCAATGGGTTACTTGATTCACCCTGTTCCCGAAGAGTTTGCTGAATCCGATATACCTGAATTAATTAATTGACGAAATGTACTAAATAATAGACAGTGACAAGTAGGGTCGTCTCCTCAGGGACTGGGGATATTTGTCTCTTTTAAAGTCCAGTTGGTAAGAGGGGGATTTCACCGATATGCAACTAAAAACAATTAAACAATCCAACTAAAAATAAATAATTAACTAGCACAAATATAACAGGAATTAAATCAAGAATAAATAAATTCTAGCCAAGGATACAACTACTCAGGCACAGTCCATTTATCCGATCATTGATGCAAGAGAGGTTCACTTAATTTATTAATAGACTAGTTATAGCCATCGAGGAGCTCTAATGACCAATTTTTCCTTAATTTATAGATGACCAAGGTACGACCATTAATCACCCCTAACCAGAAGAGTATTCCTAGGTACGACCGTAGGAATTAATTTTTCAATTGCATTAATAGCCAGAAACACCCAGCCCTAATCAATAACACGCTACGAGGGTTATTTAAATTAGATTGCACGTTCCTCTAATGTGTAAACACACCAGTTGCCACTAATATTAATCAATCAAACAATTACGGATTTAATTGACTAAATTGGCACGAGATTAATAAATCACATTGAACATCGGGCCCTTGAGATCTAAGTAATAAAATAATCCCATGAAAATACAAGCAGGCAACGTGCAAATATTAATAAATTAAGGAGCGCGTGAAAACTAATTAGATCTCACAGATTTTCGGGTCCTTCAAGTGTGGGGGGGGGGTCCCTGTTTGAGTGCTAGTAGTCCCTGATTGGTGTTTTTCCTTTGCTCTTAGTTTAATGGTTACCGCATTTTCGTTTATCTTCTCTTCCTTTCTCTAGTGGTCAGTTCTAATTTGGATACCAAGTCGGATGTTGGTTTTTGTCTCTAATTTTGATATTGCCAAGTTTTAGTAAAAAAAAAGATGTATCAAGCTAAGGGGGTTAAGTCAGGAATATCTCTCTGGTGAATATCAACAAGTGCTTGACTTTTCTAATTTTTAGTTAACTTTTCTAGGCATAGGGAATGATTGTTGGCATTTTTCATGTGAATTGGTCCAATTATTAATTTTAGTTCTCCATGTTTGGAAATTTGGGGCTGACTGCTGCTATTTTTGTGTTATTTTTAGTTATTGTGCTGTATGGTTATAAATAAGAATTGACTGTGCTCCGCTAGTTGCTACTACCGAGTAACCGGGGATCTTCACCTAAAGTGTCGATTCTCGCGTCAAAAGGTAGTGATTTCTATGAGTACGTGGTCATATAGCGATAGGAGTTGAGTAACCGGGCTCCTTCATCTGACAAATGTTGGACCTTGCGTCAAAAGGCTCTAAATGGCTAGAGACTAAGTCTTTTGCTATTCCCAAAAAAAAAAAAAAGGAAAAAAAAAAAGAGAAAAAAAAAGAAAGTCAGCTAGCCTATTTGTGATCTTAATATCGAGATTTTGGTTAATAATTGAACCGTTTGCTGATAAATGTGAGCAACCATTCCTTTTTCTTAGATTAGTTTGCTTTAAATTGGAGGAGTTGGTAGTTTAGATGCTAACCGGAATGATTTTTCTTGGATCTTGACCTGTGTCGCTTGATATATGATTTTCTTGGTGTCTTGGCAATACGGCAGTTGGAGTAACAACCATGGTCAAATTTTGGTGTTCAATTGTTGTTCTCATGCTTGAGGGCAAGCATGATTTAGGTGTGGGGGGAATTGATAGGGTGTTAATTGTTAGTAATTTTGTTGTTAATTTTCCCTTTTATTCTTGCCAAATATCGTTTTAATTATTAATATTTACTTATATTTGGTATTGAGACTTAATTTCAGGAATAAAGCAGAAAATTACCAAAAAGGAGGGACTTTTATGGGAAAATGGAGACTTCTAAGGACCTTGGACTCTTGAATTGGTGGGGACCACAAGCTAGTGAAAGGCATTTAGTCATTTTGGCCTTTCAAAGAAAGCAACGTAGAGAGACTTGGACCAAGAAGTAATTTGGAGGCTTTTGTCCACATGTGTGGGGACCACAGGAAATGGCTTTTAGGCTTCTTTCTTTTGGCTTTTTAAGGGAAGACGTTCAGAAGCAAAAGGAGATCCTTTTTAGACGGCTTTAGTTTCAGCTTTTAGTTGAGTTTTTAGTTTTCTTTCTCTTCTCTCTGACTGGCCTCTGACGCACGCCAGGTGTTTGACAATATTCCCCAACGGGGAAACATCCTTTATTCCTTACTTTCTAGTAAAAAAACAATGCCTTCGCAATTTATTAACTCGTGTGGTGATTTAATTCTGCGGCGTGGCTAAGTCTTCCATCTAGTCAAGGGTCAACTCGACGGCGCAGTCCCGAAAATCTGTGAGATCTAATTAGTTTTCACGCGCTCCTTAATTTATTAATATTTGCACGTTGCCTGCTTGTATTTTCATGGGATTATTTTATTACTTGGATCTCAAGGGCCCGATGTTCAATGTGATTTATTAATCTCGTGCCAATTTAGTCAATTAAATCCGTAATTGTTTGATTGATTAATATTAGTGGCAACTGGTGTGTTTACACATTAGGGGAACGTGCAATCTAATTTAAATAACCCTCGTAGCATGTTATTGATTAGGCCTGGGTGTTTCTGGCTATTAATGCAATTGGAAAATTAATTCCTACGGTCGTACCTAGGAATACTCTTCTGGTTAGGGGTGATTAATGGTCGTACCTTGGTCATCTATGAATTAAGGAAAAATTGGTCATTAGAGCTCCTCGATGGCTATAACTAGTCTATTAATAAATTAAGTGAACCTCTTTTGCATCAATGATCGGATAAATGGACTGTGCCTGAGTAGTTGTATCCTTGGCTAGAATTTATTTATTCTTGATTTAATTCCTGTTATATTTGTGCTAGTTAATTATTTATTTTTAGTTGGATTGTTTAATTATTTTTAGTTGCATATCGGTGAAATCCCCCTCTTACCAACTGGACTTTAAAAGAGACAAATATCCCCAGTCCCTGAGGAGACGACCCTACTTGCCACTGTCTACTATTTAGTACATTTCGTCAATTAATTAATTCAGGTATATCGGATTCAGCAAACTCTTCGGGAACAGGGTGAATCAAGTAATCCATTGCACACCTAGAATCCCTGCTCCAGTACCTAGGATTAATTTTTGACTGCTTTTGGTGGTATTTAGGTTTTTATTATTATTATTGTACAGGTTCGGCACCTGTCAATTTTTGGCGCGCGTTGCCGGGGACTGGCGTTATTATTTGTTTCTTTTTTTAAATTCATTTTTGTTCTAATTTTCTGGTATTTTTCTAGTGTATGCCTCGGTCTTTTCGTACAGGTGATTTGATTTTTGACCCTGAAGTAGAGAAGACCGCGTGTAGAACGAGAAAGGAAACCAGACAGCTCAGAGAGGAGCATTCCAGTGCTACATCTCAGAGACCTGAGTCAGGAGTTGAACCAACAGATTCATTTGGTGACACTTCGAGTGATTCGGAGCAAGAAGAAATCCCCATGGCTAATGCACGAACATTAAGGGAGTTGGCTGCCCCTAATTTAAATCAGCAGCCTTTGTGCATTACTTTCCCGAGTTTGAGTGAAAACACTTCATTTGAGTTAAAATCTGGTCTGATTTCTCTTTTACCCTCTTTTCATGGTTTACCAGGTGAGGAGCCGTATAAGCATCTGCAGGAGTTTGATGTCGTGTGCAACAGTATGAAGCCCCCGGGCATTACAGAAGAGTAGATAAAAATGAGGGCATTTCTCTTTTCCTTGAAGGACTCTGCAAAAGACTGGTTATACTACCTACCACCAGGTAGCATCACCACGTGGGACTAATTGAAGAAAAAGTTCTTAGATAAATATTTTCCTGCGTCCAGGGCTGCAAGTCTGAGGAAAGAAATTTGCGGGATCAAGCAGTACCCAGGGGAGTCATTCTATGAGTATTGGGAACGGTTCAAGAAATTGTGCAGAATATGCCCCCAACACCAAATAAGTGAGCAGTTGCTCATACAGTATTTTTATGAGGGGCTCTTTTTCAGAGACAGGAGCATAATTGATGCTGCAAGTGGAGGGGCACTGGTGAACAAAACCCCTCAGGAGGCACGGGGTTAATAGAGGGGATGGCAGAGAATTCACAACAATTCAGTTCGAGAGAGGACGTCCCAATACGTAAGGTGAATGAGGTAGAGACATCCTCTATGCAGCAGCAGCTAACTGAGTTGACCTCGTTTGTTAGGCAATTGGCTGTAGGGAATGCATCTCAGGCCAGGGTGTGGGGGATTTGCACTGGTATGGGTCACTCTGCAGACATGTGCCCAATGCTTCAGGAAGAAACTGCAGAACAGGTGAACATGGCTGGCCACGCGCCCGCGCCAAGAAAGCAGTACGACCCTTACTCAAGTACCTACAATCCCGGGTGGAGAGATCATCCCAACCTCAGTTATGGAGGGAATAGGCAACCCAACTTTGCACCGAACAGGCAGTCTAACTTTGTGTCAAATAAGCCACCAGGGTACCAGCAGCAATACCAACCCCGACCATCTCCGCCCCCAAGCTCTGGTCCATCTTTGGAGGAGATGATGAAATAAATGATGACAACCATGGCGCAAAATCAGCAAAGGACGGAGGCAACCATTATGCAAAATCAGCAAAGGACGGACTCCGAAATGCAGGATATAAGGAATCAGATAAGTCAAATGGCCACAACAATCAACCGTTTGGATTCCCAGAACCAAGGTAAATTGCCATCTCAGCCCGAATTAAATCGGAAGAACGTGAGCGCAATGACCCTAAGGAGCGGGAAAGAAATTCAGGGGTCTGAACCTGTGATCCCTAAGGATAAGGATGAGGAAAAGATCGAAAATGAGCTTGAAAGGGAGGACAGCAATGGTGTAGATCTAAAGGTACTTCCTGACCCAGTAATTACAGCTAAAACTAACCCGCCTCCTTTTTCTAGCAGGTTGGAAAAATCGAAGAAACAGGATAAGGAGAAGGAGATCTTGGAGGTTTTTCGCAAGGTTGAGATAAATATCCCCCTCTTAGACGCAATCAAACAAGTACCAAAATATGCCAAGTTCCTAAGGGACTTGTATGTCAACCGAAAGCGGTTGAGGGGAGATGAACGGGTCATTGTTGGGGAAAATGTGTCAGCGGTACTGCAGAGAAAGCTTCCACCCAAGTGCGGGGACCCAAGTATGTTTACTATCCCCTGTAGGATAGGGAACACTGTGATTAGAAGGGTCATGTTGGATTTGGGAGCATCAATTAATGTCATGCCTAAATCTATATATGCTTCTCTAAAGCTAGGTCCATTAAAAGAAACTGGAATAATCATTCAATTAGCTGACCGAACTAATGCATATCCTGATGGGTTGGTTGAAGATGTGTTGGTGAAAATTAATGATTTGGTGTTTTCAGCTGATTTTTATGTACTTGATATGGATGATGATCACTCCCCCGATCCCTCACCTTTGTTATTGGGTAGACCCTTTATGAGCACAGCACAAACAAAAATTGATGTTAATAAGGGTACCTTGTCCATGGAATTTGATGGGGAAATTGTGCACTTTAATATCTTTGATACTATGAAATATCCCTCAAACTCCAACTTTAGCTCAATTTTTTCTGTGAGTGCTATTGACCCTGCGGTGCAGGAAGTATTTGAAACTGTTTGCAGGGATGAGTTGGAGGTAGCTTTGACCAAGCACCTCGAGTTGGAAACAACTCCTGAGGTGGAGTGGAGTGAAAATTTAAAATGCACAATAGGAGCATTACACTCATTGCCAACCTCCACAAAAAGGTACGAAGTTTTACCTATATTCATTCCCGAACCTCACCAGAGGGTATTGCCATCGGTGGTGCAGGCGCCTGTTTTGGAATTGAAGCCCCTACCAGAGCACCTGAAGTATGCGTATTTGGGTGATAATGAGACACTCCCGGTGATTATTTCGTCAGCATTGTCAAAAACCCAAGAGGAGAAACTGATCCGGGTCCTTAGAGAGCATAAAGAGGCGATAGGTTGGACAATCGCAGACATTAAGGGGATCAACCCGGCCGTCTGTATGCATCGGATTAGACTGGAAGAGGATACTAAACCTGTTCTGCAGGCTCAGAGGAGGCTCAACCACCTCATGATGGAAGTTGTAAAGAAAGAGATTTTAAAATTGCTAGATGTGGGGATCATTTTTCCAATATCAGACAGCCCGTGGGTGAGCCCGGTCCAGGTAGTCCCAAAGAAGGCAGGAGTGACGGTAGACGCTAACCAAACGGGTGAACTCGTGCCAGTGCGCAAGCCCACTGGATGGAGGCAATGTATAGACTACCGTAGGCTAAACGCCGTCACCAAAAAGGACCATTTCCCTCTCCCTTTCATTGACCAAATGGTTGAACGTTTGTCTTGTAGGGCTTACTATTGCTTTTTGGATGGATTTTCAGGATACTTTCAGATAGCAATTGCCCCAGAGGATCAAGAGAAAACAACCTTCACGTGCCCGTTCGGGACCTTTGCCTATAGACGAATGCCATTTGGGTTGTGTAATGCGCCTGCAACGTTCCAGAGGTGTATGGTAAGTATTTTTTCAGAATATGTGGAGAAAATTATTGAAGTTTTTATGGATGATTTCAGTGTGTATGGTGATAGTTTTGATACATGTCTAGATAACCTGAAATTGATCCTGATAAGGTGTATAGAGACTAATCTTGTGCTTAATTGGGAAAAATATCATTTTATGGTTGACCACGGGATAGTCTTAGGTCATGTTGTATCGTCTAAGGGTATCGAGGTTGACAAGGCTAAAATAGACATTATATCGGCATTACCTTACCCCGCAAATGTGCGGGAGGTGCGTTCTTTTCTTGGACATGCAGGTTTTTACCGAAGGTTCATCAAGAATTTTTTAAAATTGGAGCCCCGTTGTTCCAACTTCTACAAAAGGATGTAGCTTTCGAGTTTGATGACAAGTGTGAGAGAGCCTTCGACAAGTTGAAGGAATTGTTGACCTCACCTCCAATCATCCAGCCCCCTGATTGGAATTTACCATTTGAGATCATGTGCGATGCCAGTGACCATGCTGTAGGGGCTGTATTGGGGCAGCGAGTAGGAAAGGCAGCTCACGTCATCTATTATGCATCCCGCGCCCTGAATGGAGCCCAGTTGAATTACTCCACCACTGAGAAGGAGCTTCTTGCAGTTATTTTTGCTTTAGAAAAATTCAGGTCATATTTGTTAGGTGCTAAAGTGATTGTATTTTCTGATCATGCAGCATTGAGATACCTGATGACCAAGAAAGATGCAAAACCGAGGTTCATACGGTGGATATTGCTCTTACAGGAATTTAACCTGGAGATAAGAGATAAAAGAGGGTCAGAGAATTTAGTAGCCAACCATTTGAGTCGTATCCCCGTTGGAGAGGATAGTGAACCATTGAAGGATGCATTCCCTGAAGAGCATTTATTTTCTTTAAATTCTCAATTGCCTTGGTATGCTGATCTGGTCAATTATTTGGTAACCGATAATTTTCCTGCAGGTTGGCCAAAATCGAAGAGGGATAAATTGAAGAGCGACGCCAAGTATTTTATCTGGGATGACCCGTACCTGTGGAAGAGGTGTGCGGATCAGGTGATGACGAGATGTGTAAGTGAAATGGAATTTCAATCGATTTTAGCTTTTTGTCATACTTTTGCCTGTGGAGGTCATTTTGGACCCAGGAGAACTGCTCATAAGGTTTTAGAAAGTGAATTTTATTGGCCTTCATTGTTTAAGGATGCCTATGTGTTTTGTAAGACATGTGATAAATGTCAGAGGATAGGCAATTTATCCCGAAGGGATCAACTGCCACAGGTGCCCATGCTTTTCATTGAAATTTTTGATACTTGGGGTATAGATTTCATGGGTCCCTTCCCAAATTCTTGTGGATTTTTATACATTTTACTAGCAGTGGATTATGTCTCGAAATGGGTGGAAGCAAAAGCCACCCGCACTAATGATTCTAAGGTGGTTGCAGATTTCATAAAGTCTAACATTTTTGTGCGATTTGGAATGCCACGGGCAATTGTGAGTGATAGGGGGACGCATTTTTGCAACAAGACAATTGCTGCTTTGTTCAGAAGATATGGTGTACTTCATAAAGTTTCCACTTCCTACCATCCACAAACCAATGGCCAGGCTGAAGTCTCGAATAGGGAAATAAAGTCTATTTTGGAAAAGATGGTCCGCCCTGATAGGAAGGACTGGAGTTCAAGGTTGGAAGATGCTTTGTGGGCATACAGGACCGCTTACAAGACACCTATAGGGATGTCTCCCTATAGGTTGGTATTTGGTAAGCCTTGCCATCTTCTAGTGGAGTTCGAGCATAAAGCATTTTGGGCGGTTAAGTAATGCAATATGGATATTGAGGAGGGCGGAATCCAAAGAAAGTTACAGTTACAGGAGTTGGAAGAGATTCGCAATGAATCCTATGAGAATGCGGTAATCTATAAGGAGAAGAATAAAATTTTTCATGACCAACAGATTTCAAGGAAGACATTCGAATGTGGGCAAAAAGTTCTACTGTATCACTCCAAATTGAAGTTATTTCCAGGTAAATTACGTTCTCGTTGGATTGGTTCTTTTGTTGTGACTAATGTCTTTCATTATGGTGCAGTAGAGATCCAAAGTTTGAAGACTGAGAAGAAATTTGTAGTGAATGGTCATCGTCGCAAACCGTATTATGAAGGGGTTCCAATTAAACGGGTGGAGATGATGCACTTGGAAGACCCTGCTTGCTTAGTTTAAGCAAATTTTTGGGGCTACGTCTAGCCAGAGACGTTAAAGAAAGGCGCTTTTGGGAGGCAACCCAATTGTTAATTTTGTTGTTTTAGTGCTTAATTATTTAATTAGGTCGTTTCTCACGTGGGTACTAGTCACTCTTGATGTTTTCTAACTTTGATCAGGATAGGTAATCTTGGCGTGCCCACGCGAGGAGGGCACGCGTTAAGCGTCTAAGTCCAAGTCCCATGGGTAGAGGATGTTAGTAAAACATGGCGTGCCCGCGCCGTGTTGGTAAATTCTCAACATCTCGCGACACCGGCAGAAAATAGAATCTTGGCGTGCCCACGCGAGGAGGGCACGCGTTAAAGTGCGTAAGGTAACTCTCGAAGGCAGTGGATGCTCTCTAATCTTGGCGTGCCCACGCCATGTTTGACGACTCAAAAAAAAAAAGTATTTTAGCAATTATAATTTTCGAAATTTGAATTCCAAAAAGAAAAAATTTTAAGCAATTTCTAATCTGGACGATTTGCGTTGGAGTAATTTAAAAAAAAAAAAAACATTTCCCTTTTCTCTTTTCTTCTTTTTCCTTCTTTTCTTTCTTCCTCTCTTTTCTTTCTTCCTTCTTCTCCGCTGCTTCCTTTTTCCTCTTTTTCTTTTCTTCTTCACCCGACAACCGCAGCCTGCGCTGCCGCTAGCCCACGACCTGCGAGGCACTAGCTCGCGCGCCTCTACCACCAGCTCTCCTCCAACTTCCTCGCGCGCCGCCAGCGCGCCTCCTCCTCAGCTCAGCACGCCGCAGCCCCTGTTCTCCCTCGCGCGCTACCAGGGCTGCCGCGAGCCACCGCCCGCAGCTGACCCCTGCGCGCCGCCAAGCTTCACGCTGCGTCGCCCTCGCGCGCGGCCCTCTCGCGCTCTGCTCCACCACACGCGCAACCCCAGCAACCGCCACCTGCAGCCGCTGGCCTGTCAACCTCCATTGGCACCACTAGCTCCATTGCCACGCGTCACCACCTGCCCAAATTTGGCAGGTGGAGGTATTCCAATTTCCACCTTAATTAGTAGTCCTCTGGTCCTTAAATTGCTGGATATTTGCGTTTTTTTGTTTCGTGGGCCTTTTGTTGGAATTTGGCAGGCAGTGATTTTGGACATTTGCTGGGGCTAATTTTGGGGCATTTGCTGCGATATTTGGGGGTTGAATTAAGCAATTTCTGGGGTTCATTTTGGACAGATTTGGGGCTAATTGCTACCATATGTGGGGATATTTTCTGATATTTGTTGAATTGTTGGCCGTCTGACCTTCCCTGTGTGTATACCAGTGGTACTGGTTGGAGTGTTTTGTTTACATTCATTGATTTTATGTGGTCGCCTGTCTGATTGCGAGCTAATAACCTTGTACTTCTGTTGTTGTTCGCATTTTGACCTGTGGTTGCTGAAATTGCCAAATTCTGGAATCATTTGCTACTTTTCACAGGTTGGATTTCTTGTTGGATCCAAGAGAGTGATAATTTGGGCATTTTCTAGGGTCAATTTTGAGGCAAAATTACGTTTATTTGCTGTTTCGTTTGGGGATATTTTCTGGCATCGATTACATTATTGAGTTGGCCATTTGCTTTAGTTTTCCCTGTGACTCACCAGTAGTACTGGTTGAGATTTTTGGCCTATCGTGGTGGTTCCAAATTGAAGATTCTTGCTTATTTTAAAGTTTAAGTTCCTGTGATTGAGTTGCTGCCGTTGAATTTAATTCTTTCCTGTCTGTGCACCAGTGGTACTGGTTGCAGTGTTGCTTTCCAATTCTTAATCCTCTGTGCTGGACTGCCTATTCGATTCTTGAGTTTTGGTGCCTGAACTGTCTCTCGATTCTTACCATTAGTTGCTGGAAATGCTAGCTCTTTGGGTTAATTGCTGCTTGTAGTAACCTGTTTTGGGTTCTTGACTGTCCATTTAGAGACAGTGACGCCGGTTTTAGGTTCACGTGTGTCTGATTCATATATTTGGTGTCCAATTGTGGGTGAATTGCTGCGATTGCTGGTTCAATTTGGGGGCGCCCGTGACGCTTATATTTGCTTATTGGGGCGCCCGTGACGCTTATAATTGCTACTCAGTTGGGTATACTGGACTTGCTTGGGGTCCTTTTCTAGCTCTTTGATTCCTGTATTGTGCTTTCTATTGTTTTGGTTTCCCTGTTGGTCACCATGGTGTGGCCTCGATCTTCGTCTAAGTCTAGGACTCCTAGGCAATCACAGCCTCCACCACCCCAACCCACTATTCCCGCCTCTGACTCCTCGCACGAACCTTCCTCCTCTGGGAGGAGAGCTCGCCTGAGGAGACAGAGGGGCGTCCATATTTCTGACCCTGCACATTTTGGGGGAAATTTGCACTTCACTAGGGCCGCCGACAAGCAGCGATATGCTGTTTGTTGTGAGCGGCAAATCACTCCCTGCCGATATCTGGACGCCGCCACCTTGGGCCTTCTAAATATTAGCGACCCCTTCCACCATTTGATCAATGGCATTGGGTGGCGCCCATATTCCCGTATTGTTGATCTCCCTGCCTTTGTTGAGTTGGTTAGGGAGTTCTATGCCACTTTTGAGTTCACCATTACTACTGGTTATTCTGTGTCTACCCCCGATGTCATTCACTTTCGATTGATGGGTCAGGAGTTCCACCAGTCGATTACTGATTTTAATTTAGCTTTTGGCTTCATTGATCCGGCCTATGCCGCATCTCGGGAGTATGCCGAGAGTGCGTGCGACTACATAGAGCCTTTCTTCTCTCGTTATCGCAGTATGTGGGAGGCGTTATCCGTCGACCCTGCCCCTTATGATCCTCGCCAGTCCAAGAGCTCTTACATCAAGGACCCGGCTTCTCGCTACATCCAGCGCTTCCTAGCGTATAGTTTCTCGGGTAGGCGAGATAGCTCGGGTATATTGTCCAAGCCAGAATTCTTTTTCTTATGGTGCATGCATAATAATATTAAGGTTAATTTGGGGTGCTGGCTCGCTTCTCAATTTAAGTCTGTTTTGACAAAAAAGAAGCGCCCCTTGATTCTTGGGTCGTATATCACCAATTTGGCTGTTAACTTGCAGTTGCTTGATCTCTCTAACCATGATTTACATGTTGCTTGTCAAATGGAGGCTTTGGACATCCCGTGCTTGGAGCGAATGGGTTTGGTACGGGAAGGTGACAACGGGTGGGAGATTGTTCCCCCGGGACCGATTAGACCTCCTCCTCGTTCATCCTTTGCCAGTGCATCCACAGCGGGCGGTGATCCCGGTCCTTCTTCTTCCGCTCCCCCCTCCGGCCCTACGGCCGAGGAATGGCACCAGCTCCGAAACACGGTCGAGCGGCTTGAGACGCGGCAGAAACACATGGACGTTAACATTCACAATATGGCGCAGAATTTCGCGGCATTTATGCAGCAAGCCGGGTTCCCTCCTCAGTTCCCGCCTAACCCTCCCATGTTCTGACGACTATGGGGAAGTACCGTTGCCCTTTTCTTTGTTCCCGAAGAGTTTGCTGAATCCGATATACCTGAATTAATTAATTGACGAAATGTACTAAATAGTAGACAGTGGCAAGTAGGGTCGTCTCCTCAGGGATTGGGGATATTTGTCTCTTTTAAAGTCCAGTTGGTAAGAGGGGGATTTCACCGATATGCAACTAAAAACAATTAAACAATCCAACTAAAAATAAATAATTAACTAGCACAAATATAACAGGAATTAAATCAAGAATAAATAAATTCTAGTCAAGGATACAACTACTCAGGCACAGTCCATTTATCCGATCATTGATGCAAAAGAGGTTCACTTACTTTATTAATAGACTAGTTATAGCCATCGAGGAGCTCTAATGACCAATTTTTCCTTAATTTATAGATGACCAAGGTACGACCATTAATCACCCTTAACCAGAAGAGTATTCCTAGGTACGACCGTAGGAATTAATTTTCCAATTGCATTAATAGCCAGAAACACCCAGCCCTAATCAATAACACGCTACGAGGGTTATTTAAATTAGATTGCACGTTCCCCTAATCTGTAAACACACCAGTTGCCACTAATATTAATCAATCAAACAATTACGGATTTAATTGACTAAATTGACACGAGATTAATAAATCACATTGAACATCGGGCCCTTGAGATCCAAGTAATAAAATAATCCCATGAAAATACAAGCAGGCAACGTGCAAATATTAATAAATTAAGGAGCGCGTGAAAACTAATTAGATCTCACAGATTTTCGGGACTGCGCCGTCGAGTTGACCCTTGACTAGATGGAAGACTTAGCCATGCCACATAATTAAATCACCACACCAGTTAATAAATTGCGAAGGCATTGTTTTTTTTACTAGAAAGTAAGGAATAAAGGATGTTTCCCCGTTGGGGAATATTGTCAAACACCTGGCGTGCGTTAGAGGCCAGTCAGAGAGAAGAGAAAGAAAACTAAAAACTCAACTAAAAGCTGAAACTAAAGCCGTCTAAAAAGGATCTCCTTTTGCTTCTGTATGTCTTCCCTTAAAAAGCCAAAAGAAAGAAGCCTAAAAGCTATTTCCTGTGGTCCCCACACATGTGGACAAAAGCCTCCAAATTACTTCTTGGTCCAAGTCTCTCTACGTTGCTTTC